CCCCTTGGTGGGAGCACAGGCATTAGGGAAGCAGGTGAAGGAGAGGCTTGCCAGCAGTGGGAAAGAAGGAGAGATTCTTCCAGAGACCAAAAGGGGCTGCTGTGAGACTGTATCTGGGGGTTTCTTCAGGCTAGGGTCTCCCAGCAGGACAGTCCTCCACTGACAGGAGGCCCCAAGGCCAGGTCTCTTTCAGTGGGAACTCTGCAGGTGTAACCTCTTTGAGCCTGGATAAGACCCTGGACCTTGGCCTGTGTGTGGTCCCAGCAGATGCATCTTCCAGGCCCACAAGGGAGAAATTAATGCATTAGGAATTCTCTGAGTCCAAAGGCCACAGACCTGGGAGTGCACAGCAGGGAGAAGCAGGGGTGGATCACATTTGTATGAGCAGCCCCTCCTCTATGAGGCCCTTGGACAGGGGATAAGACAGGCCCGGGGCAGCCTAGCCCCAGCTCTGTGGCCTAAGAAGGGGCTGTGTCACCATGGCCTGGAGCCCTGTCCTTGAGCTCCTCACTGCACAGGTGGGGACAGGCCCCAGTGCCTGAGCTCGGCCCTGCAGCCTGAGTCAGATCCTTCTGACTCAGCTCCTCAACCACATGCACCCAATCCCTTCTCTTCCTTCTGATGTGTGTGTTTGCAGGTTCCTTGCCCCAGCCCGTGCTGACCCAGCCGCCCTCCCTCTCTGCATCTCCGGGAACGACGGCCAGACTCACCGGCACCCTGAGCAGGGACATCAGTGTTGGCAGCTCTAACATCTACTGGATCCAGCAGCAGCCAGGGAGCCCTCCCCGGGATCTGCTGTACTACTCCTCAGACTCCGATAAGCACCAGAGCTCCATTGTCCCCAGCGGGTTCTCGGGCTCCAAAGACACCTCGGCCAATGCAGGGCCTCTGTGCATCTCGGGGCTGCAGGCCGAGGCCGAGGCGGACTCTCACTGGGCTACAGCTCACGGCAGTGGGAGCAGCCACCGCTCCTCACAACGTCTCAGAGAAGGAGGAAGTGGGTCTAAAACCTCTGGACCCACGGATCTTGTTTCTGAGCCGCTTTTCAGTAAGAAACTTACCTGGAGAGACATAGTGGGGTGGTCTCTTCTGACGACGATCTATCCTTCAACAGGGAAAGAGGAAGAGTCATGTAATGCACGGAAAGTGACATAAAATGGGGGCATCGGAGGAAAACAAAGACACGTGAGATATCCGAGCCCCACTGCACATCCCCACTCCATCTGGAGAAGATGAACAGGAATGAATTCTGTGTCTACAACCGACCATACTGTCCAGCGAACATTCCTCCCCAATCTTTCTATCATCTTAGTCCATCAAGTGTGACCTTGTGTCCCTACTGATGTATCCACAGCTGATCCACTGACAATAACCCTGGTCACAGACACAGTCTCCTCTCTCTGAACCAGCTACACGTGAACTTGGACCAGATCCTACAGACTCTCCCTGACAACACCCCCATATCTTCCTCTACTCCTCTTTGCTCCTGCATCCCTCAGGCTTCAGTCTCTCCTCTGGCTCTTCAGTAACCTATGTCTCCATGTCAGGATTTCAGAGAAAACTGGAAATGATCTTGATGTATTTTCCAGTCTCCAGAGTCCATCTCTAGAGAGGGGAATGACCAGAAAATACAGATGCTTGCAACCCCCCACATTCTCCTTCCTGCTCTCACCCCAGGCTTCATTTTGTGTTCCCAATGTTCCCAGTCAATGTATTTTTTTAGAGATTTATTTATTTTAGAGAGAGAGTGCAATGGGAGAGGCAGAGGGAGCGGGAGAGAATGTCTTAGGCAGATCCATGCTCAGTGCAGAGCCCTTTGAGGGGCTGGAGCTCAGGACCCTGGGATCACGACCTGATATACACCTAGAGTCGGAAGCTCAAACTACTGTGTCTCTCTGGAGCCCCCCTAAGTCTCTTGAATTTGAAAATAAAGTTATTACATTTCCTGCAAAGGATGTATTCATCTACCTTTACGTATTTGCACATGGAATCTGCTGGTTTTTACCCACTTCAGAATTAACTGATGCCCCCACCCATGGAGAGTCTTGGAGGAATCCACAGACACAGAATCGCCTGCATATTTTAAGATATGTCATTATGTATCTTATGCTCCTGATCCTCATTCCTAAGAATTCTCTGGATAGTAATTCCACAACAAAAATATTTTTGCACAATTCCTAAAGTCCTAAGTGGTAGTGTATTTTCACACACACAAAAAACTATCAGCAATATATTGTTCTCACTCCCTGGTAGACACCTGGGGACATGGGGGCCTTTGGGTCTGGCTGGGGTGTGGGGCAGGAAGGAGGGGGCTTTGTGCTCCCCCCAACCCTGTGCTTCCCACCCCTGAAAACCCCACAGCTGTAGGTCTTGTGTCTGCAGAGATAAAAAATTGACAGATTTCTTGTCACTCAACAGGACCTGGACTCCCAGTTCAGTGAATAATTAATAGATTTGCTCTCACATGAGGCCTCCTGGCCTAAATAAATCCTTTTCCAGTAAAAATCTCTGAGACCCTTACCTCAAAATGCAGTATCAGGACCCTGGAGTTTTATTTACTTACCTACTTATTTATTTAATTTATTTTTTTAAGATTTTATTTATTTATTTGACAGAGAGAGACACAGCGAGAGAGGGAACACAAGCAGGGGGAGTCAGAGAGGGAGAAGTAGGTTTCCCACTGAGCAGGGAGCCCGATGCGGGGCTCAATCCCAGGACCCTGGGACCGTGACCTGAGCCAAAGGCAGAGGCTTAATGACTGAGCCATCCAGGCGCCCCAGGACCCTGGAGTTTTATAAAGAGAATCATCATGGAGAACTATCCCTCAGGGTGTATCAAAGTCATAAGAGGTCCCAGGGTCACACAACCTCATCTTTGGCCACACACACACACACACGCACATACCCCTCTCCTCCCTGTAAGTGAATAGTTTCTCTGGGACTCTGCAGTTTCCAGGCCTCTCTGTCCCTCCAGAGGTCAAGGTCAACCTGTGCTCACCCAGCCATCCTCAGGGTCAAAATCTCAAGAAGCAGAATCCTCCTCAACGGGAAACACTGGACACATCTTGTGCAACTTGGGTCCTGTCCCCAGGCAGCCAGGATGGGCTCTGAACACCTGCTCTCCTGGAACAAGGCTGATGCTCAGGAATCCCAGGGGACATCTCTGTCTCCATGGGCAGCTTAGCCCCTGTACATCGCTGGGCTCTAGTTAGTGGCTGAGGCTGATCGCTACTTTGATTCTGGGACCCCAGCCTCAGTGCTGCTCCCACAGAACCCAAAACCCTTGGGGACAAGGAACACATGCTCCCTCTGCTCTCAGGGCTGAGCTGTTCCTCCCTCAGTCACCCCAGTGATGTCCACCCAGGCTGCACTCATGGAAATTGTTCTGTCCCAACCCAGGGCCACAGGGCCTGTGACTTTAGGGACACCTTCCCCCTTACCTCCACCTTGCCACCACTCACATGTGGGACCTTTGACAGAAACTTCTGGGTCCAGTTCGCCTTGGGTAGTAGTCATGGGTGGCTGAATGAATAAAGGGTCCCTCCTGAACATGCTGGACACAGTGCAGGGACTAGAGCTGTTCTCACCCCAGAGAGTGGTCTGACCCCAAATCCCTCCATCCCGGAAGCTCTGTCTGTGTTTGGTAATTTTGTCAGCAGGATGGTTCTGAGTTCATAGGAACAGGCCCCTGAAGCGTTTCACTGGGCACCACATTGACTTTTCTTACCTGGGAGACCAGACACATGGTACAAATAAGTGATTTTAGAAAAAGAATATAAACCCGTATTCTCCTGAGAACAGAAGGCATTTCTGTTCCACTCTTTTCCGTCCATGTGTTTAACCACTCTTTCCACCCAGATTCTCTCCGCACTAAGCACAGATCTGAGGAAAATACACTCCTGATTGTACCTGCATCTTCACCCGGACATTGTCATTGAGTTTAAATCAATCTTACTGAATAGAATTACATATAAAATAACACACGTTCATCTTAAGTACGAGGTTGGCTCCGTGGTGACTGACACAAAAACTCTGTCACTAGGTCCCTGTCAGAGCATCTACAGCTGTCTCTCCTTTCTTCATAGAACTTCCAGCATGTTTGTCCTTTCTGCTCTGAGGTCAGGGCCACCCACACTCACGTGGCAGGGCTCCTGCAGACTCGTGTCTGTGCTGGGAGGACAGAGCTGAGGAGGACATCCCTGCCCAATGTGTGGACAACTGTTGCTTCAAGCAGGGGAAACAGTGACAGGTGACAAAGATGCTCTGTGTGTAACCCTCTAGGAATGCATGTGATGGCTTCTCCCCACAACCTGGAAAGAAGAGCTCCCCATCTCCCCAGTGATGTGGGGACCTCAGAGGAAGGAAAGCTCTGGAAATCAGGGAGAAGGCATATAAGAGGAAAGTCCCAGCATCCTGCACAGAAGTGACCCTGTGTCCATGAGGACCTATCATTGCTCTGGACCCTGATCTCTAAGAGGAGTGTGTATAGAGACACCATTCAGTCCTGACTCAGGAACAGAGAAGGGAGCCATGGACAGACTCACTCTGAAACTCTTAGATGAGCATATAGTGAGTGTTGAAGTAATGGCAGGTGGCATATAGAGACACCTGGTCAGACCCTATTGCAGGGAGCAGTGGACAAAGCGGTGGGTTGGGTGTGGAAATAGATCTGATGGGCCCTGGTCACCAGTCACACAATGATGTGTCTGGGTCTGGACACCAGGGGGCACTCTGGTCCCATTTCAGAAGTGTCGGGGGTGATCAGAGCTGGGCCCTGCCTCATGGCCTTGTCTGTACCTCTTCTCAGGGTTCACAGTTCTGACCTCTCCACCCCTGCCGCCACACAGACCCTACCCGGCCCACCCCCCCTTACATCTTCAGGCACAGGGAACTGAAACTGGGCCAGGGAGGCGTCAGAGAGCTGGGGTCTCATTTGCACGGCCAGGCCCTCCCTCTCTCAGAGGATGAAGAGGGGAAGGGAGAGATGAGGGGAGGCTCTGCACAGCTGTGGGGCCACAGAAGGCGGGATCGGAGATGACCTCCGCCATGGCCTGGTCCCCGCTGCTCCTCAGCCTCCTCGCTCACTGCGCAGGTGACTGGATGCAGGGACAGGGGAAGGGGCCCTTGGAGAACATGTGGGGCCCTCCTTCCTCTTTTTGTCTCTAGACCCCAGCATCAGCCTCTGTGTGTCTCTCCCCCTTGCAGGGTCCTGGGCCCAGTCTGTGCTGACTCAGCCGCCCTCCGTGTCTGGGGCCCTGGGCCAGAGGGTCACCATCTCCTGCACTGGAAGCAGCTCCAACATCGGGGGTGGTTATTATGTGAGCTGGTACCAACAGCTCCCAGGAAAAGCCCCCAGAACCATCATCTATAGGAACAGCAACCGACCCTCAGGGGTCCCGGATTGATTCTCTGGCTCCAGTTCTGGCAGCTCAGCCACCCTGACCATCACTGGGCTCCAGGCGGAGGACGAGGCTGAGTATTACTGCTCAGCGTTGGACAATAGTCTTAATGCTCACACAGTGCTCCTGGCCTGTGGGGAAGTGAGACAAAAACCTGCTGTCCCTCAGCAACGGGTGTCCCTGTGCTGCTCCCCCTCCTTGGCCAAGTCAGCTCCTTCCTTTGTTTGGTCTAAACTGTACTCGGAACTAATCTCAAGGAACATTGGCTACAA